ATGAAGTCCGTCAGGGCATCAGACCGTGGAACACAATGTCTCAGTCCTTGGGCTACAGTGTGCGATAGTAACTGGATTGCAGGTCGTACTCTCTGTTTCTCGATTTTAGACAGATTCAGATGCCTTTCAGAAATTCTACGACACAATCTGACATCTCCCTTGTTTAGAGAAATCAACTCCTGCAAGGGTTTCTTAGTAATTAGGATTTCGCCGAGTTGAAATCTCTGGTCAGATGATTGCAAATCAGTTTCACAAAGTGAGGGGCATCCGCAAAGAAAAAAAATGGGCTGAGTTGGATCACAGGAGTGCCAGCAATAGTTCTCCTCGTGTAATGCGGAGTTGCTTCCACAATGATATGTTTTGGCATCCCATATCACAGACATTGGCGACAACGTGAAAGCCTACCACATGTACCGCTTCAATTATTGAAACGCACAACTCTTTGTTTATCTTGGCGTCAAAATAATAAAATATAGGTTGTTTCCAACATGAAAACAATCCCCGTACCATTGCAACCATCATTTGATTCCATGGACCATATAATGTATCACGTGATGCGTCATAACTGAGTTTGAAGTAAATTTTCATTTCATCAAAACTCAGGACGCATAGCTTCTCAAAATCTTCCATGATGTATCCCTGATGCGTCATAAGATTGAGGACTTCATGCTGAAGTCCTGGAACACACTTTATTAATTTTCCGAACTACTTGGCCAAGGCTGATAGGCCGGGAAGTGAAGTTTTCAGTTGTTCTCGAACGTATGTGAATGCTTTGGGGGAGAGAGCCCTGAGACACAAAGCCTTCACCAATTCGCCATGACCCCACTGTTTTGGTCTATTTCCTTCCTTGAAAACATGTATTTGTGCAGAAGAAGAATGTCCTTCCAACAATTTTACATGAGCGCTTTATTTTTTTCGTGATTTCGAGAACTTTTGATTTTCGCGACTCCAGAAATTAAATTCTCTATAAACCATCTTCTCATTTCTCTCATGAAGTCCCATGAGAATTTAATTGCGTGTTTTGTGTTCAAACAGGCGTTTATTTGGACGACGAATGCTCAAGCGACGACCTGACCCATGCGGCCCTTCTTGTGGGCTATGATACGGATGAAGGAACTGGGCTAGATTATTGGCTGGTAAAAAATTATTGGGGCAGAAGCTGGGGCGAAGACGGTTATATTAAGATAGCTCGTAATCGCGACAACCAATGCGGTGTGGCAAGTTACGCGATATACCCTGTTTGCGATGACCCTCCGAATTCTACAAATTCCATATCTGACCATCTGGACACAACCAAAACTTCAAGGAAGTCTCTCGTTCCAGAGACTCTGGAGATTTGCGCTTTATTTGAACGTCTTATCTTCCTTCTCTCTAATCATGAACCCCTTTCTGTATGTCCGAAACCTTCATATCATTTGGTACATGACGAGTTATAGAGAGTTTGTTTCCTTGTACAATCTTTGGTGCAGTGATTCAAGTATCTATAGCTATGAGTGGGATTGTGATATGATCAGTTATTTTTTCCTAGGGAGTTCTCTCATGTATATTGACATGTAGTTATCAGGAAGCCTCTATTCATGTTAACGATGCAGAGCGTCTTGTACCACCTTCCAAAGATATTCAAACCAACGCTTTATGAATGCTAAGAAATAGCTATATTTGTAATATATATTGGAAATGACAGATGCTTTTAATAAATCCCTGGTATCAATTAAACCACTGACTTTCATTCCGATACTAACAAGTTTGCTTGCCCTTCGGGCAAATAATCTCTTTATATGGCGCGTTCAGCGCTTGACGATGAAAGAAAATAACTGTATTTCAATCATCCGACTTACATGCCTATACCTACTAATGCGCTCGAACTCCTTGGGAGTCATAGTCTTTTATCACAGTATTTTTCATTACGGGTCAAGGTTATACTGGTTATATGACGTCTTAACGAGCCAGCTGTTAGCAACATTGAGTTAGCGGAGATTATTCGTTTCCCCCTAAATGAGCGCTTATAAATTGTATACCATACTACGTCTATCATAGCGCAACTGCATGACTCGTGATCCTAGAACGAATATTTGCATGGTTACGGTTCCCCTACCTCACAAGACGACCTCAAGGGTAGGAGGACTCAAATCCGATGACCTTTCCTGAACCCAATATAAAAATTACATACTAGTCCGCTTAACCGCAGTGAAAATCATCGGAGAAACAGAGCCTAAAAATACCTCCAGGAGATATGCATAGCAACTAGAACTTTTCCTATGACCTGCCCAACAGATAATTTCCCTAATTTCTACAAGTTCCCGATTCGTTGGAGCGAAAACGTTTCTATGGAAAAGACATGTGAGCCCATTGAATGACCAAAAAAAGTAGGAACTTCCTTTAAGTCACCTTTCCCAAAAATACAAGGATATCCTGGGAGGATGTACCTCAAAGTAGTTCTTTTCCTAAACCAAAACGCCAAGAACTACAGACCTACCACAGCAGGATATTGCACCTGTCCAAGCCAGGGCCTGCCAGTAATCTGGGGGCTGTACTGAATCCGGCATACGAGTTTCATGAATATCCACAGATTGCTTTCCGAGAATGTACTAATTGGCGTGCAAAAACATGCGCATAGGTACAGGAGCACATGCAGACGCATTTGAAGATGAGAACATGCTCCCTGGTCTCTGGACAAACTTTACCCTCATCCTTTTCCTTGTGACATAGTAGCTACGCTCCAGGCACTTATAAGATTTGTGAAAACAATTACCCACATCCGGACCTTGTGAAGACTCGTAACCTGCGAAGGTGTTGGTCGAGATGGAGAGCAGCTTCAAATAAGGAAATTATTGCTTGTCTTTCACGTTTCCCCGCAGATCAAACTAGAATCTATCCAAAAACATATAATCAAAGGAAGTGACTTGACGCGATTGTGTCATCCAAGCCGGTGTCGAGATACTCACCTTTACATCGCACATCGTGAGAGCGTCAGCTGTTTCGAACTTGCACGATGTGGGCAGCGGAACACTTCCGCGAGTACAGGGCGATGGATCTGTGCTCTCCTTGCGTTTACCAGATGATTATCCGATAATCTCTGACCTGTTGAGATGACGGCATTCGAGCATCGATCTGAGATGCCGGAGCGAGCAGCAAGCGCACCATTCCGTGTGATGAGCACTCCCGTTTGGTCGGCGAGGACGTGTCATCTCGATCGGAAGGCGAAATGCCGACTCGTCACAGTATCGACACTGTCAAGAACTACTATGTTGATGACGATGCCGGTCGGATGATCAACTTTCCGGTTGAATTCCTAGGCACTCTCAATCCTCCGGCTCTCCCTCCACACGCCCGAAAACCTTAAAATTAGAGCTATCGTAATGCTTTTGCAGAATCTCTCGATTGGGAACGGCCTCTGCAACGACACGGTATGATCGTGAGAGACACGAACGCAAATGTCTTAGAATTTTCTCATGTTTGTTCATCTTTAGTCGAGTATTTTTCCATGAAGCCAAGCAATGACGAAACCATGAGTAGTGTTATGGGGAAAATGAGCCAAAGATCTTCCCAACGATATATGTTTTGTTGTGCTTTATTCACAAAGTTTTTTTCCTGTTAATCGTGATTTTTATATTCTAAAAACTCACTTTCCTTTTTAAGATTCCTATTCGCTTGAATAAGCACAACCAGTATGCCGTACGGAACAATATCGTTATGTTTATTCGTGATCCAGTGAACGTTCTGACTTTCAGTCAGAATATTCAAAACCCGATTCAAATAGGGAAACGGTCTCGCATCCGTGTCCAAATCAAATTCTTGGAAGAAATTGGGATCCAGTTCGTAAAACAAAGTTCCATTCTAGCATTGACTTTGAATGGCTTTCAGGTAGTCATGGTTGAACACAATCCAGGCCATGGTGTAGTAATCCCCAAGGGGATTTCCTGAGAAAGCAACGGTTTTACGAGCCGGCAAAACGAAAATTGGAAGAAATTAGGGAAAAGCATGGCTTATAAAACACTACATTCCCCATCCTGGGTCCGAAAATCACTGGACTGGTCGACCGGCGAATCCCCATCCCAAAGTTGCGATATGAGAGATGCAACATCCACAGTTGCAGGCCCTTAGCGACAATGCATGTGCATCCCGCGAAGAGAATCGTCTGAAGAGAATCTGGTTCAACGTCACGTGCTTATCATAGAACAGGTAACCGGCGTAACCAAGCGGAAGAACACTCGACGCGGCATACGCGATGCACGCTTTTGGATTCTCTTGGCGGACCGCCAGATACCCCACGAGACACACGACGAGAGTTCAGACGCAACCGACGACGAGCACCGGCAACTCCATGCGGTCGAAGTCCACGACGCCCCGATCATGGACTTAAAGCACCAACAGCACCATCCACCGCCTTGCGGGTTCTCCAGCGCGAGAATCCATCTCCCCGTCCAGTGCCTTGGCAGCCGGCTGCTCGGTACTCCCGCTAACGCCTCTATCCCGCGCGAATGGCATGCCTTGCAGTGTTGTGCAATGAATGAGGAGATATTTAATGAAGTTATTCTTCGAAAATCAGTTAAAACGCTGAAAAAATCTTCAACGTGTGTAAATAACCAGGAATACGAAAAATCATATGATTTCGTTTTAAAAAGGAATGATCCAAGGTGGTTGTTCGGAGTTCAAGAAAAAAGGGTTATAGAAGGCTTCGCCCCTCCCTTTGCAGGGACAATTCCTTTATTCAATTTAGGCCCCTCCCCCCCCTCCCCGAAGTCCAAGGGGAAGAGACATGAAGAGGCGATTACGCCCATGAGGATATCCCGCGTCGAGGTCGCGTGTCCCCGTATCACAAGATAGGTCTACGGCTCTTGAAGCCTGATTTTTTTTGTAGCATATCCTCCCTGTTTCCTAACTAATCTCTCGCACAGCCACGGCGTTTCAGTGCCAATTGGTTTTTTGTAGAAAATATAGCAACATTTATTCGATCGGTTCAATATTTCATAAACCGCATGTATCACATGAAAGAAATAATGTTTGTGAAGAATTTGAAGGAAATCGACCCAATGTTTCACGTGCAACATGTGAAACCTATCAAATTTGGTCTAGCACAGAACGCGAAGCAGTCACTTTTCATTTAATTAGGAATATAACTTCTCATCTATCCACATGCAGTGTTTAAAAATTTGAGTCGCTCTGATAAACGTAGTCTTAATCAGTGAAAATGTTTTGGCATAGTTTTCTCTTTGAAACACCTTGTGAAACATTAATGGTGTTGGTTTTTCATTAGGAAGGAATGTGGCCGTTGTAAAGGCGAGAGGATTTCAATGCTAAAATGCATTTCAATCCCTCTTACCATCTTGATCGGTTACCTAACCTGGACCGGTTACCACACGATTTGTTGCTGGTACCTAAGTTGGTACCGGAGAAAATCCAGAGAGCAACGAGAAACGGCTCTCATAATCACATTCAGTCGTTGTCCTTTGTTATGACAAAGGACAACGACAACCTTTCTCTTTGAGCTTTACGCCCGTAGGTCAGTTTGACTAGTTTGAGCGAACGGAATCAACGCCAAATGAAATTCGCTTTTGGGGTTCAATTACTGTATTTGTGCACGTGGAAGGAAAGGGAGAGGATTATTATAATGGGCAAATCAGAAACTTCCGAGTTTGTACAAATCTGGATGATCCCAAATTGGTCATTTATTTCTCAGGTAAACATTCTCGCGGTTACCGATAACGATATAGCATAGTGCGGATGAGTTCCCACGATCACGATGCCTTTACAAATTTCTGTATTTGAATGAACATAGCCAGCTTGTCGGAAGAAACAGGTTTTTCTGCGGTTACGTGTTTATTCGCGATCGGAAAGTTTTTCTGGGATTCAGTCGAGACCTTCGATACCCAATCGAGAATAATGCAGATCGTGAAACCGCATGGCATCCGAGTCCATACAAAGTTCTTGGAAAAAATCCGGATCCAATTCGTAAAACCAAGTTCCATTCTGGCATTGACCATAGATCCCTCTCAAGAAGTCAGGGTTCAGGACGATCCAAGCCATGGTGCAGTCACAAGAGACCGGATTTTCTGGGAAAGAAACGGTGCTATGAGCCGGCAAAACGAAGGGGGGGGGCCATAAGATGTGAAAAACTATGGAAATTACCGAATAGATTGATGTATCCAGTTCCAACAGTCCCGAGTGAAAGGATCTCCAGAATGGGCCGGAAGGACGCTTCCGTTAATTCCGAAATTTCGTTGTACTTCAGACCGATATGAGTGTCGGGGTTAATGCCTTCATGGATTCCGAATAGGAAATGATTTGTTACGCATTAGCTGCAGCTACACCGAACTTCTTCGTCGAGTATTACGAACTGCAAGAACAGTGAGCTTCGATTCGAATGCGGATCGTACCCGTGATGGCATACGGTTCCAGGCTCGAAATGCCGTTCCCGTCGAGGTACACGGATCCAAGGTCTTGGCTGCGGAACTCCATGGACCCGGTCTTCAAGATCGGTCCGAGGTTGCAGGAAGAGCACGCGAAGCTGAACAAATTCTCGAACCCCTGGAATAATCCCTGCGGGAGTTCCGAAACGGGATTCCCATCTGCAAGAGATGAACTAAAATCAGCTCCAAGGAACCATCGATGTTATCTGAACGTTAACAAACACTACTAGCGTTTATTTGGATAAACACTGGCGGGTCAATGGAGACGCAGCGTTTAACGGCGTGAAGGTGTATGTTCGCCGAACTTATCGCATACCACACGTGGGATTTCCGTGCGCGGTTCTCTTCTTTCACGTTCCTTCCTCCACCCACTTGCAACTCTTCCCCTGCTTTTGCGAAGTTGCTGAAGGAAGTTCATTGAGGACTGGGCTACTACATCGAGAAGACGTCACGCAACAACTTCATTTTACTCCCGAATTGCTGGACGAATATCTCAGACTTAAAATTGTTTAAATAATTTTCATGACCTTTAAACTCATGGACGAAAAGAAAAGAATTCCTCGATAGGGAAATGAACGAGATGTGGCATTTCGCGAACGCACCGGCCACAAGACTCACCCAATTCCAGGAATATCAAGTTCGGAATGGACCATGGACCCTCGAGCGCGGCGATGCGGTTGCCGGACAGGTAGAGGCTGCGAAGACTCGGACTCTCGACGGCTGGGACGGAGGCGAGCTCGTTGCGATAGAGGTTGAGCGTCTCCAGCCGGGTGAATGCGGGCAGGGCGTCCCAAGGGAACTCCTGCAAGGAGCCGTCGAATATCCTCAGCTCTCCAAGACGATCCTTCGAGGAAGACAAAGCCTCGGGGTGGACGGACGAGACGACGGTGAAGTGTATGAACATGCTCTGGAAGGAGACATTCCCGAACACTCCCGATGGAAGGTCCTGCACGTACCCGTTTCCGGTCAGCCTGAAGTCTCTGGAAGAAGGAAGAACGAAATGCGTTTGTTCAGATGAGTTTGCTCCGCGCATCGCAGCTACGGCTTTTGTATTTCGATGAGCCATGGTATATCGGGAGAGGTTTCACGTTTCAGCATTTTTAAGGTTGGATATGTACCTAAAGGGTATTCAAGGGTAAAAGGGTAGCCAGGTTCCTACCGCTGAAGTTGTTGAGGTTTTATAATAAAATCCCTGTTCCCTGCGTTTCCTAGCAGATTCCGCATATACCTGTATGTCCCGCATTACTCATGAATCCTACAGTTTAACATCCCTAAAAATGTATGTCCATTCGTGGTTAACCGTTAGCAGAGGCAAGAGAAGTTTGCCAGTAGATTCCGCGTATATTAATATGTCCCGCATTACCTATGAATACAACCGTACAACGTTCATAAAATGTCCATTCCTGGTCGACCTATTCGCAGAGGCAAGAGAGGTTCGTGCGAAAAGAAAGCAAAGGGCTGACCAAAAGAGCAGGCTGAAGTTTTCTGTATCGCCGTGGGGATTGCTTCGAAATTGAATTTATTTGGTATTAGGTCGGTATTATGGAAATAGATTTTGTGCGCATGAGAATGCCAAACGCCTCTGGCTTCCAGAACGACGCGAATTCACACTAAAACGTGTAATATTTCGATACTCATCGATGAGACGATCCGCGTCGTAAAGCAAATCGTCGCCACATCGATGGAAGGAATCGGTACACGCGACCTATTCGCCTTACAAGAGTTCGGTGATCGGCCAGACGGCGTCGTTGAAGGCGGCGAAGAGGTCCTCGCTGGAGGTCGCCAGCGAGCAGTCCACTGACACGGTGTCGAAGAAGTCGTTGTAAGAGCAGACACAGGGAGAAATGCTGCTTGGATCGGGGCAGGGGGACTGCCCGGTCACCACAGAAAGAAGCGCGGAGAGTAGGAGGAGGAGGAGGACGAAGGATCCATGCATTCTCGACTGGAAATGTGGAGTGGGGGGGAAACCCGACCACTTTCACGTCACGGTCCTTCCCGACCGCAGGTGCGAAAACTCACACGCGACGACGAAATGTCGAAGAACGACTTGACATCCGATTGGGGAGACGTCTTCCCGGCAATCCCATTGAATTTATTTTTGAAGATTGCAGTTCTGAGAAAAAAAATCGGGGGAAAATTACTATGGAAAACTTTCAGCATACGACCGTGAAAATTCCGTCGTCTGCGTCACATTTGGCCCTCTCTTCGAGCGGGAAACAACGCAAAAACCGATGAGAACAGAAAATACTCCATAAAGAATCCCGATTACGTGATCGAAACGTATTTTGTGCAAGGATTCCCCCTCATTTTTTCATCTCAATCTTCGTGAGAAAGCAGGAACTGTTCTTTTGAAGACGTCAGATGGTGGATTCCATTTTCTTCTTTTGCAATACGATAGACGTGGATTGCATCACATGAAAGGTACCAACGTGCAATTTTTCCCATGCGAAATGGATAGAAAGCACGATTTTTCGCTGATACTGAGTTCAGGAAAAAAAAGTCAATTTTCCGATACATACTGAGGAGGATAATTTTTGGGGGGCGACTTTTTCAATGAATTTTTTATTTGTCCTAGCGAATCGGGCAGAATTAGAAAGGTGAAACTTGGCCCGCTCATAACTGACGTGATAAGAAAATTCAAATTTTGTGGTGCATTTCCTCAGGGCACAGCTTTTGGGTGAGCTTTTCCAAATATACAACAGCAAGAAGGACTATCGGATGAGGCTGAAACTTCGTAGGGATGAAGTCTTAGTAGGCATGACTGCAGTACAAATGGTTTTAAGGTAAAACCCCTCAGAAAAAGATTTGTTCGACTCCTATCTTCCAATGGCTTCGCTTTCTCTCCTGCCTCGGACTCTTCATCTAGAATCCGTGTTGGATTCTGTGCGACCTCCGAGGCATCAATTAGGCGGAGAGGGACTATCATACCTGGAGTTGAAGGCTCTCTCTGCGACCCCTCCGTGCCTATCTCTTTCTTCGTCCAAAGTTTTTGCCGGATTGCCTTGGCCAACGTGGAATTCCAAAAGAAACGAGTTTGACTCATACCATGAGTCGGCGGATTCTCGACGAACCCCGGCGTTGCCGTTCGTCGATATCGCAACGAAGGGGAGGGGATAGGAAATCAAATTTGTTGCAATGGTTCTGCTTTCACAGGGTGTGCTGCCCACATCATTTCAAGGAGATTTATTTAACATATCCGAGTAGGTTTATTTAAATTTTCCGGCATGTGACAAACGTGGAGTCATTTTTCTCCGCTTTAATAGGAATTGATAGTTTACGCAATAATTTTCTTTTAAGGAGGAGCATTCCACAAGTTCAATGGTTCCGAAATCCTTAATTAATTCCAACGGATGTGCAAGCCGGAAAATCATTATTAAATTCATTCATGCATTTTCCACTTGATGATGCGCGAGCGCAGGATGTTACCTCATGGGTTCTCCCTCCCCGTTGCATCGCGTACTGACGCACTTCGCTCCCTCTCTTCTCGCGCCTCCCTCCTGCCTAATCCCCTGAAACGAAGGGACGTGGAGCCAGCCACGCTCTGCCGTTTGCCAGACTTGCTGGCGCTCGTATTCCTTCCTTTCTCTGTGTATCCGTTCCCCTGTCTTTCCCACACTCAAGTTGGATTGAGAGCACTCTATAATACGGAGTCCAAGTTCCGCGCAGGAGCAGACGACTTCAGCGCTACCTGATTTGTCGTGGACGGAGAGCCTTTGAATTCAAGAAACAATGCCACGTGCTCCTATACTCAACAATGGGCCTGGGGGGCTGCTTCGCTTCTCTCTCCTTTATCTCGAAAACGTTTCGGTTTACGAAAAATTCTGCTCGAGCAAGATTTGCAGTCTAGAGTCTGCCCAAGCTGCTGATACATTTTTGGGGGCTTTTTGACCATATTTAAGTAAGATAAACGCACGCAAAGAATGTCTGTATGACGCATCTCCCTTTCCATCAAACGCCGTCCATACCTATACTGGGAGATTCAGTACTCCTTACAACTCCTCATCGTCTTCCTTTGCGTGATGTCAACATAGGGACAATATTCCGGAGCAGGGAATTTGAAACGTAAAACAGTAGCAGGAATAAATTTAGAATAATGAAGGTACATAATGTCCTTCAGTTTCCCGACTTGAATTTGGTAAGCTTCGAGGAAAAGTACGGCAACCATACCATGCTAGACTAAATATTTACAATTTCCTCGTTCGATATCTAATGAAGACTGGGGAATACTTTCTCCCTCCTTCCAATATTTTGTTTTCTTTCGCGTCGTCTCTCCAAGCTGAGCTTAGCCACGGGTCTTATTGCCCAAGTACGTGAAGAGGCATGGATGAAATATCCTGGAAATTATTGAACTCCTCCACAAAGAACAGCGCCTGCCATACACGTTTGGATGGAGAAGGTCATGAGGTAAGATTGAATTGAAAAAAAGGAAAAGTAATAAAGCAAATAGCAAATGAGTTCAATCGTAGAATGGAATTAACACCTGAATCGTGCTGAAAGAGGGCGGGTACATGTTCACCGTTCATTTTCTAACGGATACGAGGTCTGATCAAAAAGTTCTAATACTTAATTTTTTATGACGCTGTGGTGACTCTTTCCGACTGCTGAAAGTTATACTCGTATCCTTTAAACTAGTCCTCTTCGGCATCTACACAAATTTTCCGGCGTTTCTTCAGCCACTGGAAGCATTGCTGACGCTCATCTTTTGGAGTCACCAACAGCGCTCGCGGCGCGTTCGTAATGTTGTTTTAAATGTTCTGAGATTTCCTTTATTTTGCAATTTCAACAGTTTCTGACCTACCCGCAATCCCGTGCTTCATCAGCCATCCAACTCGTCGGGGTTTAGCTCCTAGTCATTAATTTTTGCTCCCTAAACTAAAGTATGTGCTGAAATGAAGGAGATTTTAGGCATTCAAAGCAAAATTGTAAACGCGCCGCGAGCGCTGCTGGTTATTCCAAAAGATGAGTGCCAGCAGTGCTTCCAGCGGCTGAAGAAACGCCGGAAAATTTGTGTAGATGCCGAAGAGGAATATTTTAAAGGATACGAGTATAACTATCAGCAGTCGGAAAGAGTCACCACAGCGTCATAAAAAAATTAAGTATTAGAACTTTTCATCACACCTCGTACATAATATACATAAAACAGATAGGAAAAAAATAGCAAAGAAACGTATACCGCAGACCAGAATGGACTCTGAGCAAATCTTGTCTGAAAAGGATGTTTCATGAGACAAGCCATTTCGGAGATGCTCGAGACAGACGGAACATTGCCTGACTTCCCGGGAGAGGTGAGATTGAGGATGGTCCTATTAGGGTGAGTATTAGACTAAAATGAAAGCGTACAGCTTTAACATTTACACCACCGGTTTATTCTAGACTACAAATCTTGTCAGAAAGTGATTTTTCGTCAAGCGTGTCACTGTCGAGATGTAGGGGGGGGGGGAGGGACGGGTTCTGACGGAAAGGGAGGTGCATGGTGGAAGCATTATCCTTTGCATGCGTTTATCTTACTTAAATAAGGTCAAACAACCAAAATAAATTATAGCACTGGCTAGGGCAGATTTTGGACTACAAATTTTGTTTAGGCAGAATTTTTCGTAAAGCGAAATGTTTTTGAGATAAAGCAGGGAGAAGCGAGGCAAGAGAGATTCCCCCCCCGTCTGGCGTCCAAAGGGATGCCGCCAGACGGGGGGTGGTGTCAATAACAATGTTATTGTCATATAACAATGTCATTGTCATATAACAATGTCATTGTCATATAACAATGTCATTGTCATATAACGATGGAAGGGT